GTAATTAGTCGATTTGATGGAAAGTGCACACACATATATAATTGACAAAAATAGCAAATTCGTCAGAAATGTTTAGTTTTATTAGAGGGTGTAATGCGAGTATCACAAATGCAAATATCAGACTATCAATTCATTCCACATAAGTGATCAACGTGCAATAATTATAAAAACCAGGTTAAGTCTCGAACCAAGACAAATAGAATTTATGGGAAATATTATTTTCTCGTACATTTTGGATATCGGTATTAAAAGATACTGAAAATTCAATAACAATAATACATTGAAGAATAAAAGTTTATTAAATGAAAGAGATAAAATCATGGTACAATACACACTGCAAGCCTTAATATAGAGTCAGTTAGGTAAAAACAGTACCCGACATAATTATATAAAAAAAACTTATTTATAAACATAAACTAATAAACGCGACGCAGTCAAATTCGTTACTGGATTATATGAGATCCAAACAATGAGATTACAATATATCACAAAAATTAAGCATGCAGTCTTAAATATTACGCATAATTATAGTCATTGTACAATCACTCTATATTAATACTGGGTACGTTACAAATGCTGTTAACATAATATATCACACGTAGTACATCTATGCTATTCTGTTAAAACAACCTTGAAGTCGACGTCGAGCGGAGCGGCGCGGAGCTGTGAAAGCATATAACTATTACCTTTTGAAGTAAGTTGTATTTTGATTGACATTTTATACTATGGCAGCGCTGCGTTCAACGTCGAGTTGTAGGCAGTTGACAGAATAGTTGACGTTCTGCAACGTCAAAGTTCATCTACTACCTACTATGATGAATTTAAATCTAGAAGACACTTTATATATATAAAAAGGCACTATTAGAACTACACAATTAATTTATAAGATCATAATGTTTCCTTACTAAGTAAATTTAATTTTTGACAAAAGCAGAGTGATCATAAAATATTTATTTTTTACATTACACGTGGGTACATCGTATTAAAAATATAAATATTCTTATACAAACCTCAGTCTTATTTGGGCTCTATTCGCCGTTTCTGAATAATAAATAAACAAAATGTAAGCCTTTTTCTCTAAACAGATTAGAAATATTATTAAATTTCTCATGTGTGCTAAAGGCACCTATTTGTATATGTCGCATCATCTTTATGAAGATTGTTTGATTTAGTTTATTTTATTTTAATTGCTAGTAACTCGATTACTTAATTACTCGATTACTTAATTACTCGATTGTAGAGAGAGCGTGATCATCGATACTTTTAATTTTATTAGAATGGTAACACTGACTTTGACAGTTCGTTAACAAAAAGCAAGTTGCCGCCATTTTGGCACACATTCTGTTTCCGATCGCCGAGGAGTAAAGACATCCGACGACATCACGCTCATCTCGTTATATTTTCGTATGAAAAGTGATAAAATGGAACAAATCCACGTTGGTATACACGCCGGCAGTGTTATTTTAAAGATAATCCTCCGATATGGACCATCTATTTGGGCTTCGTAAAAGCCCCTTCTGACTACCCGCCGACATATACAATCTACATGATGGTAAAATGTTTTGATTTTGAAAAGGTAAATGATATTACTTATTGGTAAAACAGCAGAAATAATAGGTAATAAATATTCAGAAAACAGACAAGAGAGAAGTTTTTGATGATTATTAAAGTTTAAGATATGTTGGTCTAATACTAAAAACATTTAATAAAATCACAGCTGTATATTACTACGTTTCGAATGAAATATAACGTTATTATTAATCATACACAAATCGATAAATTATCTTAAGTAATTGTTCACCCAAGTCGCTGCATTTATCCACTCTCCCCTGGAGTATTTTTCTAATCGAAAAGCGCGTGAAGATTTGCCTTTTATGAGATCTGGTCGCTTAGTACTCAAAAAGAGCCTATAGTAAAAATTATTGACATGACGAAATAAAAACTAAAAAAATTTAGGAACAGCAAAAACACTGAATTAATACGAGTCTTCTCAAATTTAAGAACAATAAAAAGGTTACTTAATTTTAAGGTACACATTTTCACTCCTATCGTATAACCAAATTGATGATATACAAGTAAATGTGAATAAACAAAAGATATAAAAATTACTACTTAAGATAAGCTGCTATTCATTCTCCTTGAAATATATTTTCATTATTAATTTGAAGCCGGAGAACTTACGGGTTCAACTTATGTATATAACATATTATAGTATATAACCTCATAGTATATATATATAAAGGTACTAATAATCGGTAAAAACGCTATGAGCAACCAAATAGTCTTGTAAAGGACTTATTGAGTTATGATACAATGAACGGAGTTCTTCAATTTTACTTTCAATTTTAACGTGGGATTGATTTTCGTGTTGATCATTCGATTCACTGTGTCCATTTAATGGGTTAATTTTAATTTTTGAATTGTTTATCTGATTACTGGAAAGAATTTTAAGTTTTGCGTGGCTTATATGGTGTTGGGATTGATCTTTTTCGGACTTCTTTCGAGCTGGAGGGTGACTATGATCAATGTTGGCTTTGAGAACTTCTAGTTTATCGGTAATGATGAGATGCGCCTTGCACTTCCATTTTGAACCGTAAGCTGTGCAGCTCCAGCGCCAGGCGTTAGTCCTGGCCTTCAAATGCTTGTAAAAAGTGAAATCGTTGAGACGAAGATTGATGCGGCCGTTGGGACGAAGGTAAAACTCCACTGTTGGAAAAATTGTTTACATAAAATACCAAATTATAAGTCTTGTACCTAATATTAACATGACACAAAAATCAAGTGGAATTCTAAAGAAACCAAAATGATAAAATGTCATTAATATGACATTCTACCTGAATGATAATTTTACAAAAAATGTTAACACTATAAAGATAGATTAGTAAAAAAGGAATGAATTTAAAGGGTTATGAAATTACTAGACAAGCCTGTGTCGTAAGTTTTAATAGCGAAATACTAGAATAATGTTTACATAGCTTAAGTTTTTAATTATATAATAGATTCAAAATTTAAAAAATAATAAAATATTTACATGATTTTTAAGAAAAGATTTTTTTGCTAGACAATTTACACTTGGAAGAACATAAATTTGATTTATGAAAATAACAACTAAAAAATTATCTAACATTCTCGAAAAATTACTCTTAAATTACAAACTTTATTGACCTTTTAACATTTTTATACATTTTAATGACGCTGTCACACCAAACCGTTGTATTCAATGCATTCATTGCTTTCTATAGAAGGTGCGTGGAATGAATTAATGAAGTTAACATTGCTCTCTATGATAAATTGATAAGTAAACTTTGCTTACATAAGATACTTTGTAAAACTAGATTCCCACGGTCGGTGAAATTACAGATAGACAGAGATGAAAAATCGTGCGATGGTTATGATCTGTGTTAGCACAACCTAATGCTAGCTGTGCGGGTAAAAATATGAGCATGTTCTTCTGCTTTCTGACCGACTTTGAGAAGGGCATCTCAGACTGAGAAATCAAGAAGCGATTTTCGGACGCATCCCGCAGAAAATACTTATAAAAACTCGCGTAGGATGTGAGAATTTAGGTAAAGCACGTAAGAAGTTTTGACGATGCGAATTACGGTTACTTGCGTGACTCGCGATGGAGGCGGATATCTCGCCTCGTAAACGCTAGGTATCACGAAACTGCGACGAGCGCAACTGTTGGATTAAGTTTTCCAGATCGAATTTCAACCGTCAGGTTAGCGGGCGTTTCTACAGCGGCAGCGGCTCCCGTACCGAAAAAAACTACGGTATTTTGAATTTTGAAATTAAAAAAATATCATACGGCGCAGCGGCTAGAGGCAATAATCGCTCTGTAAGTTCTGTCTAAGATTGCTGTGCGTTATTTGTATATTTAAAGTACCATTCAAGGTGATCCGGACCACCATTTTTTTTTACAAGGAGGTGAGAGAGAGTCATGATTATTTAAGTACTTCAAAGGATCTATATAAGATATTGTACCAAAAAAAAAACATTTTCATGTATTTATAAATCTAAAAGTGGCAAAAATCGGTTTACACAATAAATGGATGATGCTTAAAATATGTGCTAGCGTCACATGATTTTTTAAGGGCGTGTAAAGCATTTTTTTATTATGTTGACTAAAATAAGGTGACTAATGAATCCTTATATAATAAATAAAATCCTAATTAGTTATATAATATAGCTTTTAAATATATCTAATAACTTATTTATTTATTACACGCGACAATATTATTCTCTATTATTTATGATTACATCTGGAACTTGTGCGACATGTGCATTCTACCCACGGAACGGTAACCACTACCATGGCCACTACTCTCCGTTCCGTTATTTACCCATATACATATACGGAAAATGCAAACTCAGCACGTAAATCTTTATCTATACCAACTCATCTCGAATTTTAATATTTTCCAGTAACATGGTCACTCAGAATTAAGCACCATCTAATATATAAGCGTCAAGATAGTATTTGTGTTAATACCTATAGTATAGATGCGTTCACGTTTTCTTATAAAAATATCGTCAGATATGTTCTATTATACAATTTGAAGGCCTACCCCACATTACTGTTCTCGGTGTGTACGTTTCTGAAGCAGTTAAAGGCGCTCACGCAATGCGAGCATCGCTTGAAATCACGTTTAAATCCGTAATATTTTGACTTTTCCTGGATTAGGTTAAAAACGGAAAATGACTGAAGTAAAGGATTATTTGATTGTTGAAAAAAAAAACTCAACGTATCGCTATTCATACCCATTGTTAGGTACCGTACAACAAAATAAGCCACTTACTTAGCCAGCCATTTACACTAGGCCAACAGCCACTTCAGGCTTGGGGATTATCTTCATTTACACATATTTAGTTTATTATACTGGCCTGATGTAACTAGTCTATATCAGCTGACGTATTGAGATTCACAGAAAAGAGCGTAAGCAGCTTTCAGAAATGTGCACGCCGAGAATACGCTAGTGTGTTCCAGACCAAATGGATAAAGTTAACTACCTACATTCAGATTAAACAAATGTGCTGTCTTTTTTTATATCATAAATGCGATATTCTAGCTGAGTTGGTCATTTTATAATAAAATATAAGGCATACAGAATATAATAAGCCATTTAAGGCCGGTTAGAATCCGACACGACTGTGGATACTGGATATTTTTAAGGAAAATGGATTCAGGGCTTCTTTATTGTCTTTAGCTTCACCGGACCTCCTTGTCTGAAAAGATGAAAAGATAACATTACAGACATTTATGACAAGGATAAGCACAAATATATCAATTCTGAAATGCGAGTCATCATCAGCCCTATTTAAGTCAAGGGCCATATGGAGTATGGTTTTCATTAAGGTTGAATCCCCACGCTAGCACAATTGAGGATTTGACGGCATTAATGACTGCAAAAATAGGCGGAACCAAAGGCTTAAGTGCCTTCCAAAGCATGGAGTAGCTCGAGATAATGCGCTTATCCACTATGCTACCGAGCTACTCGATTGATTTATTCTAAATGATACGAATTTCTAAATTATACTAGAAACATCAATTAGCCAGCTGCACAAACGTCCGAACGTCATTAAAGTTGTCCTTAGTTTAAAGTGACATTACCTATACAAATATGACACTCATTAGAGCTTAAAAGCATCATTAAACCTTAATGGACGTTTATGCAACTTACCGAACATGGTTTAAAGACATCTTACGGTATACAATAAAAAAAAAACTTACTTCTCTTAATTGCCTTTTCACGTGATGAAAGAAGTAAGTGGACGGCGGATGTGTATGTTCCGTGTGAGCCCGAACCACCAATTTCTCTTTAGTGACGTGAAGAAAGCCTCGGCAGGACCTGGAGCCCATCTGGGTGCAGCTCCATCGGAAGCCATCCCTAAGGATCTTGTGTTGGTAGTACGTGTAGCCGTTTAACATCAGTAAGTCTTTCCCATTGCGCCCTTTGACCAAAAGAACTGAAAACAAAACAATTATAACTACCGAAGTACAAATTTTATCATATAGTTCTTGGAAACAAAGTCTAAATTACACCATCTGCGATTACAATGTCTAAAGTGTCAATAAATAAAAAGTATTTTATGAAATTAAATGTATTAAGAACTAATATTATATGTAGTTTTAAAATAATACCTGGATCATGTTCAAATATAAACAAACAGCTGCTTTGTCCCACATTTACTCTAGGTGTGGCCTAGATTGGTAGCGTGTTTAAACTCTTTTAAACTTCGATCTTACGATTCATCAGTAAATTATAGTCAAATCCTAAATTACAATGTAATTATAACATTATTTTTAGTGGTTTTACTAGAGTAAACTCGTAAGTAACCTTTAAAATTTTCTATGACTCATACAAGTATGTACAGTATGTTATGATATATATTATTAAATAAACCAAGAATTAAACATACCTAATACAATTTAACACACAGTAAAGTCAATAAAGGTCTATTTACAATAAAAATTTAACCATTAATTAGAAATTTTATTAGTCAAATGATATCCAAAAGATTTATCGTTTTAAGGTACCTATTAGCATAAATTTACATTAAAAATCCTATGCATTTCTATAATATACTGAAAATAATTCAAGTGTGTCACTTTATAAAAATAGATTTCATGTTTTATGTAAAAGGCTTCTTCAGGACTATCCTTAGGTTACATCAAAAATTCGCTTCTAGTATACATATACTATACTTATACATATAGTATACAATACTTCTAGTATTCATCTTGATATGAAGTTTCCAACTTAATCAGAAATTAGTGTATTTTAATATAGGAACCATCGCCATTTCTAAAGTACTGTGATGGAGGATGCGTATGAGTTTCATTCCGTCTAACGATTATACCCTCACTGCTCAGGACAACATGAGCGTAGCAATTCTTAGAAGCATGCATAGAACACTGCCATCGCCTCGCACCGTACTTCAGCATGTAGTGTTTGCAGTATGTGAACCCATTGAGCATAACCAGGTATTTGCCTTGGTGCGTTCTAATCATTTCGGCTGCAAAATAGAAATTGCGTTGCAGCTAGAATTACTCAACAGTAGGTGCTAAATTAATCAATAAATCCACATGGACCGTCCAAATGCTTGATGTAAGATCAATGAAAAAGTTTATTTGTATTTTAGATGCACACTTATATAATACATTTAAAATAGTTTCAATTTCATTACATTGATAATGTGGCATTATTCTAATATATCTTCTAGCGTAATTGTCCATATAATATAGTTATATTTTCATAAGGTTCAATAATTTTCAGGAATACAATTTCCTTTGAACTTGACTTTTTCAATATTAAGCCAACAAAATGTAAATTCTGCTTTTCAAGATAGGTCTTGGCATACCGCACGGTGTGCGCGTATCGATCTGTCGCGCAGATAACCAAGTATGATACGTATTTTGTCTCATTCATCAAACTTAAAAAAATATGGCTCTGAGCTAATAAATATATATTACCTAATTACATTACCTTAGATAGTTTAAGCCCAAAACGACGAATTAAAACTAGGAGGAATATCAAATTAATTTAGGCGATACTTGAACTAAGGAAAGAATTACATTTTAATATATAATCCGTCGCTATTTCTGAAGTATCGTGTAGGCGGATGCGTGTGATTTTCGTTTCGTCTTATAATTTTGCCCTGTTTACCAATAATTATATGAGCGTGGCAATGTCTAGAAGCGTGACTTGAACATCGCCATCTTCTTGCACCTATGTCGAGCATGTAGTGTTTGCCATAAGTGAAACCATTTAGCATAACCATGTATCTGCCCTGGTTTGTCTTAATAAAATCAGCTGTAAAAAAGACAAAGAGTTTGAGCTAAAAACTGATAAGAACTATCATAAGAAACAGTCAATTTTACGGGACATAAAAAAAATTTAAAATTAACCATTATTATAATATCAGGAGTCCATTCATAATGTGACCCAAGATTCTACTTCTTTTAGTATTCAATAATACTCTATTATCAATACAAGGAGACGATAATTGGCAAAAAGCCAGCACCAATATGATGTACCGCTCTGAATTGGACCTTGCTGATGACAAAAGAGCAGATATTACCAAACATCTTATTTAATTCTAACAAAGGGTGATTCTAAATCAAATGAAGGGTCAGTGATCCCATAAAATAAAGACTGGAAATAACTGTTTTACCAAATTAAATAAACGACAGAAATAAGATAATACAAAAACAAGAGAGGAACTAGGAAAAAAGAAAGAAATATACATACACGTATAAAATGTCAAATCTGAAATATTATATTCTAATAGAGACCACCGACAGATGTTGGTTTTCATTGCACTGGAAATATGCGTTGGAAATATGACAGGCAATTTCTTGATGAATGCATAGGTATAACATCGCCTTCATGATACACCAGACTTAAAATGTAAGGCTTGTCATAGGTGAAACCGTGGATTACCATTGTTTTCTGAAAAAATCTACTGTAAAACAAAGGCTGATATCAAATTTAAAAAAAAACAATTTTTTGCCAGTAAAGTTTGAAGACGGAATACCAAAAGAATATGTGGAATTTTGCTTCACATCTGTAGATATAAACCTTAAAATTCCATATCCGCATTAACATAAGCATCCGCATCAAACATCTCAGGTAGAGATATTATACAGCAACGTGGTGAAAACATCCTTTTTCTTATTATTAATGAAATTGCATTGTTAATTGAAAATTGATCAAATATAATATTTTTCTTGTGTATCCGACATAAGTAGATTAAAAAGAGATAGTAATAATATGAATGAGTATGATTTACAGTAACAAATACTATATCACAAGTTTACCGATTATATTTTTTCTTATATTAAAATACCTATACATAAAATACTAATACTTATAATTGTAATTGGGTAAGCAATGGGAGTGAATATCATTGGCTTTGATTATGAAACCTTTGTCGTCCAATATTAAGTAGGCTTTGCATTTTTGTCCCGAACTGACAGTACAGCGCCAGCGATATCCTTTATTTAGAACACAATGTTTTCCATATGTGTAGCCGTTATACCTAGCTACACATCTACCAGCTGCTGATTGAACGAATTGCGCTGCAAAAAAAAGGTTTTAAGTTAAAAGGCTAATCATCGAATCATCAAGAAAAAAAAAATTACCATATTCTAGTTACTTTTTGTTGTGAATTTTATATCCCGTCCAGATGGTTGTATTCAGTTCACATATCCTTATGGATGCGGATTTTCAAGTTGCATTTGGAATAGGACTATGTATCTATGTCATAATAAGTAACCGTATATCTATGCGACTGATGAAGGTACGAACGTTTGCGAGCGTATCAAGTCATAAAGCCTAAATAATTATTTTTCAAGTTACAAAATGTTTCTTTTTTGGTGCTGCTTTCTAACTAGACAACGCGATGTATCAGCTTGTCGCCAGATGGTGTTGAGTTATCGCTGAATTGCGCTAGCACCGTCCAGTCGACGCGTCTAGTCATACGACGGCAGGAAAAGGACTGTTAATAGGGAACAAAGGGATAAATAGCCGTTCTAGAATTGTTTGAAAATGCCCTATAAATACGTGGTGAGGTGCCCGTCTCGGCATTATTGCAGTGATCAGTGGACTAGTCGCTGGTTATTTAGTGCGGTGAATTATCTAGACGATAGTGAAGTGACAGTGCTGTATTTTATTAATAGAAGTTTTTATGATTTTTATTGGGTAAATAAAATGTTGGATTATGATTTTAATTGGCGTTAATTTTTACCCCGAACCCCAGCTCGTAAAAGTTGTGTATTGTAAATCCACTTTTGTACATTTCAATAATAAAAATTACAGAAAACAGTACATCACATTAGCAGAGTTAATGTAAGACTTAATAAGTAAGAGAATTATAACTGATACAACATTTAATCCGCTTATCATGGAAAATTCGCGGGCATGCTCTTTGCTACGGTCCGATATGTTTTATGTTGACCTTTGTCGTTCAAAACGCGTCTTTCTTCCTTAAAGATTGAGGAAACTCGTTCATTAGTTTAAATTTAGACAATTACCCATATATTTTATGCCTTGCAATAGTGGACCTTTTTGATATTGGCCCAACACACCAGTATATCGTGGTTTCTGTTCACGTTGGCTGTCGATTGCGAGCATCATCGTTGGAACAAGTGAACGATCTTGGATATGCTTTAAGCAGTAATCGAAGGTAGATAAGGTATGGTGCTGGGATCAGTGTAAATGTAGCTTTAGGAATACTTCTTGGATGGAAAACCTTAAGCGAGAATGCACAGCTCACTAGTATACACAATACGGTGCCATTCTCAACGACAATGAATGGGAGCACGAGTCGGGTGTAAGTAGAATAAATGCAGTCGAGATGTTATTGTACTAATGCAAAATTTTATGATCAATAGAGGCATTCTTTAAAGTTTATCTTTTATGAAAAGAGAAATGTTGGCCGAGCAGGTGAAATATCTGCGTAAGAACCGTACCTTGTCGAGTTCCACAAGCCTTGTATGACAAGGATTCGGTAAAAAAAAATTATTAAAAAACAAAACTAACAGTTTATTTAAGTACATTATTATTTATATAACATTCCACCTTTACGAAAATAATGATATTGAGGATGATTGTGGATGTCCTTATCGTTAGTTATAACTCTACCCTCATTTACTATAATAAAAGCTTTACAACCTTTAGCCCTAGAACTAGTACACAAGTAGCGGCTACCTATTTTCGTGCTATAATACTTGCCATAAATAAAATTGTTGTATACCGCTACAAAATGTTTACCGGACTTCGTAGTGCGCACTAATTGAACTGAAAGTAAAACAATTCAGAAGTTAGCAACTGAACCGTAATACTGAAGTACAAGAATCGGAAAAACATAATGACTCCATACCACACATACTTTGAGCAACTACTGTTATAACGACAATATTAGCAAAGAGTCGGAGAGAAAGAGAGAGAGGGGGAACAGTAATAACTTATTTACTTTATAATTTTTACAACGCTTCACCTTTACAAAGGAATCCTGATTGAGGATGAATGAATGAAATATGGTTTATTGTACCACAACACGACAAAAACCAAATGAATACAATCAATTAAAATGGACAATTGGCAGCGTTATTACTAAAAAGTAATTTCTTCCAGGCAATCATTTCGTGAAAGTTTTTTTTTATCTAAAATAATAAACATTTGTTTAATATATGAATTAAATAATAAATGCCACATGTGTATGTACATACCTACGATATAATATAGCATATACCTATATAATTATATTTAGATGCGTATAAGCTTTTGGGTGATAGTTAAGGATTCAAAATGAGTGACAGATAGTGCTCTTTAATTAGTCCTTTCAAATGTGTATGCTTTGTGCACGTGTGATATCCTCCGGCAATACATTCTAGAGACGGGCAGCTTGGACTGTAAATGATTTATTCATGAATTTACTGGTATGCATTGGTATTGACAACTTCAAGTTCTCCGATGAAAGACAAAGCTCCAGTGTGTGTGTTGTGAAGAAATGTAAAACGTTCCTCAAGGTAAACAGGTGAATAAGGATGAAACAGAATAAGGTAAGGAAGGGAAACAATATGTGCATTCCGGCGCAGACGAATTGGCACCACTTGAGTTTAACACGGAAATCGGAAACACGATCATATTTGTGTAAACCGAATATAAAACTACTTAATACAGAAATTTTGAAGCTGCTCAAGTTTAATTAATAGCTCTTCGGTGAGGTCTAGATCGCTGCCATCGGCATAATCTGAAATTGAGAAGAGAAGAGATTGTGCCAACTCAGTTTTAGTGGCCAGTGGAAGGAAATCCCCAAGTCTTTTTAACTTCTATTTGAAGTCACCTAGTAAGATTTGTATCAACCAATATACTTACATTTTAACACCCTTACATAGAGTAATCTTAACTCCACCGAATGTGATGGCTGGTAGCTGTGTATAATTTATCTTATTGGTCAATGTGAAGTTGCCAATTATGATAGCTAGAGGATTCACTTTTAATCCAT